TGTTGCGCTATACCACCTACTAGTGTATGAGTGAAAAACACAAGTTTGAGGAGCTCTAATCACCAAGATTACATCCCGAAGCATCCATGAGTGTTCCGCTACTCTACCTACTAGTGTATGAGTGAAAAACACAAGTTTGAGGAGCTTTAATCACCAAGATTGCATTTCGAATCACCCTTGAGTGTTGCGCTATCCCACCTACTAGTGTATGTGTGAAAAACACAAGTTTGAGGAGCTGTAATCACCAAGATTGCTTCCCGAATCACCCTTGAGTGTTGCGCTGTACCACCTACTAGTGTATGAGTGAAAAGCACAAGTTTGAGGAGCTCTAATAACCAAGATTACATCCCGAAACATCCATGAGTGTTGCGCTGCACTACCTACTAGTATATGAGTGAAAATCATAAGTGTAAATAACCCAAAACACAAGCAATCAACATGAGATCATTCCTAGAAGAATCGGAGCACTCCCTACTAGTATGTGGATGAAAATTAAGAGTTTGATCATCCCAAAAAAGAAGAAGATGAAGAACAAATAGAAGAAGGGGAAGAGGAAAAGGAAGAACAAAGAGAAGAAGGAGAAAAGGAAGAGGAAGAAAACTAATGAAGAAGAGGTGAAGAGGAAGAAGGAGAAGAAGAGGAAGAAGAAGAGGAGGAAGAAGAAGAAGAGGAAGAAGAACATGAAGAAGAAGAAAAAAAAGAAGAAAAAGAAGAAGAAATAGAAGAAGATACATCTCCTTCCTCCCACTCACCTTGTCGATATCTTGCAGATGGAGTCTCAATCTCAATGGGGCTTCCTCTCCTTCTTGCCCAATTCCTCCTTGGCTATGGCTACCTCCTTCTTCAAGCCTTTTCTTCCTCCTCCTCTCACCTCCTTCAAGTTGCTATGGCTCCTGTCACTAAGACTAGGGATTCCTCCCCTCTAGGAGGGCTAATGGGACTCCTCTCAGTCTTTCCTTCCTCTCCACTAGCCTAGGAGGTATGGCGGATTACCCCCTCCATTACCACTAGCTTGTAGATCCTCCTCCTACTAGCTCACAGTCACCTCCAAGCTCCCGGACTGGCAGGGGTTCCCCTCACTACTCTCCAATTGTCTCTAGAGCTCTCATGGGCTCATTTGGGCAGCATGGGCACTCCTCACGCAAGTGTGAGTGTGGCGGACTGAATCCCCAACTTATATAGGCTGGGAACAGCAGTCCAGTCAGCCCTTGGGCCCTCCCAAGTGCCTCAAGGTGAACCGAGGTACCCCCAAGGCCAATTTTGACCTTTAGGCCTCTCCGGGGGCACCTGGGCCTCTTTTTGGCCAAGTACATGCAGTCCGAGTAGCTGGTACCAACTCGGATTGCCTCTTGGCCTACCCTGACCTTCTTTCCACCTCACAAATGGTGCTCCCTTCGGTCCTAATACCCAAGGGGCAATTTTACTTGAAGGAAAAAGGCCTAGTGGACCTTTTCTTCGATTTTTTCAGTTTTCGGCCTCCCTTGGGTGGGTCGGACCATTTTTCAAAGTGGCGGTACCTTTTTAGCCTTGGATCTGATTGAGATCCATGGCCTGCAATAATCCGTGCTACCCCCTAGTAGCCCATGCTTCAATTTTGAGCCCCTAAGTCTAGTTTTTCAATTTTTGGTGCATCTGGTTCCCTTTTTGGCCAAATGCATTATTTCGTCTTTTTTCCTCTTTTGTTTCTTTCCATTTTGGGCTGCCACCTCATTCCGGATCTAGCCATTGTTTGCTGGCCCACACAAAAACAGCTGTTTTCTCTCCACCATGATGTCTGATTTCAGATCCATGGTCCAAAAGAAAACCGGATTTTGCCCCGTGCATTTTCTTTCATTTTTGCCTTTTTAAATTTAGATTCTCAGCAATCCGGTCTTCACTCCTTGAATCTAGGAGGAGTGAGGTCATCATTGGGACCTGGAAGTCCCTACCGCTGCCATCCCAATGGGCCGGCACACTCTCCTCCACCCATTTCTCCGTTTTTCTCTCATTTTCCCTCATTTTTCTCTTTTTTTTTTCTTTTTTTTTTTCTTTTTTTTTTATTGTGACATGTGTCACTTTGCTGTGTAGTCTCTTTCTAGGCCTTAGGGCCTTGATTATTATTAGGTTCATGGCCGGCTGTTGGCCGTTACACCCCGGCTCACAAGGTTGGCATACCCATGCCCCTAGGGGGCTCATTTCCCTCCCGTTAGCCTCCATTTCGAGACCCCTTGGTTCCGATTTTTCTTGGCTAGTCTGTTTCTTGCTTGGAGCCCCTTGGGCTCTTATTTTCCCATGCCTAGCTAGTTTGAAATACCTCGGACCGCTGGGCAACCCTCCCCTTATTATTTTTTTATTGCTCCTCACTCCCGCTTTCACCCGTTTGGGCTCCACCAGTGTTGGCATTAGTGATGCTATTCCGCCATCGAGATCCTCGATCTCGACGGTGCCGTTTATTTCTCATGGTCACTCCTCACCTTAGCTAGTGGTCTCCCCCTCGGGATACCTCAAGTCCCCGCCGCTTCCCATACTAGTCCCATTTTTGCGCTCCGCCGACGGTGCCGTCGACAAGCCCCATTTTCCGACAATTTTTGTTTGGCCCCCTTTGGCCCCTGGTGTCATCCTGGTTGACGTTCAATTTTTATTTGGGACTTCCCATGTCCCCGGCAGTCCTGTTTTATTATTTTTTTCTTTTTACGTGTCCCTTGTGCCGTCACTATTTTCTCGGCCGCAGGGCCCCCGCCGTGCCGTTGCCGATTTACCGTCATACTCCGTTAGGCCCATGGCGCCGTTTTCTAATGTTTTTGGCGTGCCGTGGCTCATTTTCCCTTGGTCCGGGCATTCATGTGCAGTCCGAGATTTCTCGGACAACATCCATGGCCAATTTACTAGCCCCACAACCCCACATCATGCCCCATGCCCAAGGAAAGTAAAATGTTAATTTTCCTAAGGCATCCGGGCTCAATTTCGACTTCCGGAGCCCCAAAACCTTACGTTTGCCCCTTTCTATGCAGTCCGCTACATCTCGGACTGCATTAGGGGCAGTTCCCCTTGCCCCAATGTCCCTCAACTAGCCCCCTACCAAAAGAAAATCAGGCGGCCACTTCCCAAGTGCATCCGACCTCAATTTTGGCTCCCGGAGCACTTAGAACTTGATTTTGGCCTCCCCCATGCAATCCGTTATTTTTTGGTTGCATGGGGCCTTGTTTTTCTTTAATTTTCTTAGCATAAATCAAAGAAAAACATGATCCTTTGTAACTGCCACATTGCCCAAGTGAATCTGGTCCAAAATTCTTCCCCTAGGTGACCGTTTTTGTCCGTTAGTGCCCTTTTGACTTTCCTACTTATACTTTTTTTTTTTTTTTT